CAAACTTGCAACAATGGGAAGAATAAAATACTATTTTCAGGTTATGGAGGGGGCTGGCAACCTACACTCGACACACTAGCAAATAGGTGTTTAATTGAACCAATACAAGCCAATACAATGCTGAGCTCAGTCTTGACTCTGTTAACCTTATACAAGCTAGAGCTTGAGCATGCTTCTCATGTCTAAGCTTGAACTTGGCTTGATTAACATTACATAGACTAAAGGTTAACTGATAAACATTAATTACTTTATATTAATTATTTTTTCAGGCAATCTCTCTTCTAGTTTTATATTCTTTTTCTTTTCGCCTTTTCCTGGTTTTTTTTATTTACAAATGAATGGTCTAAGAGCTGAGCAGCTGTTGGGCGATCATTTGGATTGACTTGTAGGCATTGCACGATAAAATGTCGTGCATCTTTTGACAGGGAGTCAGGAACAGTTGGTGGTTCACCCTGCCCAATTTTATACGATGCCTGCATCTGTTTGAATTACAAAAGAAAAAATATGTAACCAAACAGGAAATGGTACTGCAAAGTTGTAGTTGCAAACTTGCAACAATGGGAAGAATAAAATACTATTTTCAGGATATGGAGGGGGCTGGCAATCTACACTCGACACACTAGCAAATAGGTGTTTAATTGAACGAATACAACTCAATACAATGCCGAGCTCAGTCTTGACTCTGTTAACCGTATACAAGCAAGAGCTTGAGCATGCTTCTTATGTCTAAGCTTGAGCTTGGCTTGATTAACTTTACATAAACTAAAGGTTAACTAATAAACATTAATTACTTATAATTAATTATTTTTTCAGGCAACCTCTCTTCTAGTTTTATATTTCTTTTTCTTTTCATCATTTCCTGGTTTTTTATTTATAATTTTAACTTGTGAATAAAAAGTCCTTATTTTTCTAGAAAAGAATAATGGCTGAAAAAAGAAGTGCTTACGGGTTCCAGAGGTGAGTATGGAAACTGACGGGTTAACATCTCCAACACGGTGCAACCAAGGCTCCATAT